CCCCCCCAGAGGGGATGGCAACTCTGCAATCCCTTCTCCCCCTTTGTACTCATTTTGGGCATGCATGCACGTAGACACATATGCCCAGTGTGAGTTTTAAGCCACCAGGTCTGGGACTTGAACCATGGTTGACTACGTGGGAGTCCAGCGACATAACCATGATGCCATCTGCTGGTCCCAGAACTTTTTTTCATGAAATGATTTAATTTTATTTCTTCTTATTTTTAAAATTTGCTATAGGGTAGGTGTGCTCACCAGAGACAGAGAGAGAGAGAAGAAAAGTGAGAAAGCAAGCCACCAAGTCCAGGATTCAAACCACAGTGGGTCATGTGAGAGTCTAGTGCCTTACCCACCAATGTCACCTGCTGGCCCCAGTCTGGAACTTGTGTCATAGCAATACCACCACCCAACCACAAAAACCAAATCATGTGTTATTTTTAAAGCCCTGAAACATGGCCACTTTGGTTTTGAGAGGGTTCAGTTAAGATTTCCTGGGCCCTGGGCAGGCATTTCGTCTGTTCCCACCATGTGGCCCTTTTGTATAGGCAGAGGACTGTCCAAATGAGGGCAAGAGCAAAGCAGACCGTGACTGCACTGGAGTGAGCTTCCTCTGGCCTCCTGGAAACTGAAGGTACAGCGTTATCACAGCACCCCTGCTAGTTCAGGTTACAGCCATGTCACAGAGAAAGAAAGTGTACAAGTCACACTGTCGGACAGGAGGTGTTTCCTGCTGGGTTGCGTTAGTGAGTATATGGCAAGGGATATATTGAACACCTTTGCACAACCATCCCCCAAAATTCAAAACTATGATGTAATTAATTTTTTTCAACTTTTTGTTTAAAGAATTATTTAATTTTGGGACTGGCAGATGATCTAATGGCTATGTCACTGGACTCCCATGTAGTCAACCCTGGTTTGAGTCCCGGACCCGGTGGCTTAAACTTAATGCCGGGTACATGTGCATGCGTGCCCAAGATCCCGAGAGGAGAATGGAGGAGAAGGGATTGCAGTGTGGCCATCCCCACCCCGGGGCGGGGCTGACTTCTCATTTTCGGTCTCTGTCTTTCTGGAGAGCAGATGCACCCTATAGCAAAAAACCTTCTCAAAAAAAATAAAATAAAATAAAAAAGAATTATTTAATTTTTATTTATTATTATTACTGTACTTAAAGTTGCTATAGGACATGTGTGCTCATGAGAGAAAGATAGAACGAGAGGGAAAGTGAAAAAGCAAGCTGCCCAGTCTGAGAATCGAACCAGTCAGCCATCTGGGAGTCTAGTTGGCCCCCTCACCCCCTTATTAGAGAGATTTTTGCTTTAGGGTGTGTGCTCACAAGAGAGGCAGGAAGTGAGAAATCACACCCCCCCCAAGGGGATGGCCACGCTATAATCCTTTCTCCTCCATTCTACTCTAGGGATTTTGGACACGCACGCACACACACCCAGCATGAGTTTCAACCTGCCATGTCTGGGACACAAACTGCAGTCAACTACATGGGAGTCCAGCAACATAAATATCACGCTATCTGCTGGTCCCATGCTGGATATGTGTGCTCAGATTTTCCAATGACATATGTGACTTTTTTTTTTTTTTTTTTTTTTAAAGAATCATTTATTTAATTCCATGTTATTATTATTTTTTAAAATTTGACCAGACAAAGAGAGAGAGAGAGAGAAAGGGAAAGTGAGAAATGAAGCAACCAGGTCTAGGTTTCCCTTTTTTTTTTTTTTTTGAGGTTTTCGCTATAGGGCACTCGCCAGACAGAGAGAGACATAGAGACAGAAAGCGAGAAATCACCCCCCAAGGAGGATGGCCACGCTGCAATCCCTTCTCCATTCTCCTCTCGGGATCTTGAGCACGCACGCACACGCGCCCGGCGTGAGTTTTAAGCCACCGGGTCCAGGACACGAATCGCGGTTGACTACGTGGGAGTCCAGCGACATAGCCATTACGCTAACTGCTGGTCTCACCAGGTCTAGGTTTCGAACCAAGTTTGGCTATGTGGGAATCTAGCACCTTTAACCACCATGCCACCTGCTGGCCCCAAGAATTACTACTTTCTTAAGAGAAATGTTTGCTATAGGGTGTGTGCACTTGCTAGATAAGAGATAAATCACCCCTGTCCCCATGGGGATGGCCACACCACAATCTCTCCTCCTCTTGGGATTTTGAGCACACAGGCACATGTGCCCACCATGAGTTTTAAGCCACCAAGTCTGGGACTTGACTGGGGTCGACTGTGGGAGTTCAGTAATGTAACCATTAAACCATGCCGCTATCTCCTGGCCCCTAGAGAATTATTTTATTTGTTATTACTATGTTTTCACTTGACTAGAGAGAGAGAGAAAGGGAAAGTGAGAAAGCAAGTTCAAGTCCAAGGTTCAGGACTGGAATCCCAGTCAGCCATGTGGGAGTCCAGCACTCCAACCAGCCTGCCATTTGCCTGCCCCGTGATGGTTAACTTTATGTATCAACCTGACTGGGCCACAAGGTGTACAGATGTTTGGTCAAACAGTATTTAGGGATCTCTGGATGAGCAGACCGAGTAACTGGATTGCAGTTCCTAATACCATCACTAGGGGTCATTTCAATGAAGGCCTAACTACAGCACGCGCACGCGCCTGGCTTGAGTTTTAAGCCACCGGGCCCGAGATGCGAACTGCGGTCGACTACGTGGGAGTCCAGCGACATGGCCATTACGCTAACTGCTGGTCCCGGCCCCTGTACTATGCTTTTAGTCACTATTTCAGAGTGCACTCCTCCCACTTGGAGTTTACTAGAGAGTACCATGTTACACTGGCAGCAGGCTTATACATCTGGTGGTATGTCTCCTCTCGCTCTCTTTTTAAAATAATTACTTATTTAATTTTTTTTATTTTTTAATTTGACCAGACAGAGAGAGAGGGAGAAAGGGAAATGAAGAATACGAGCTGCCAGGTCAGGGACTCGAACTGCAGTCAGCTGTTAGGAGTCCAGTGCCTTAACCAATTCACCTGCTGGCCTCTTACCATGTTGCTTGAGTGCATTTTTCTCGTGTGCTTGATTGACCCTTGTGTTGTCTCTTTTCCTTTAGTATAGGGTGCATATACTCACCACAGTGAGAAAGCACCCCCCTCCCGGGGATGATCATGCTGCAATCTCTTCTCCTTCATACGCCTCTTGAGAGTTTGGGCACCCACACACATGTGCCCAGGGTGTTTCTCAAGCCGCCAGGTTCGGGGCTTAAACCACACAGTCGGCCACGTGGGATCCGGCCTCCTTAACCACCCACCACACCCCCGACTGGCCACTCCTGTGTTCTTTTGTTCATCAGGGCCTTCCAGTAGGACTGGGTGTAGAGGTAAAGGACAGTGACAGTGACAATCCTGACCCTAATGTGTGTGTGTCGCAGGTTTTTGTTTTTAGAGACGGGGTCTCACTACCTTGTCCAGTTTAGCGTTTACCTTGTGACCCGGGCCTCAGCAAGTACACTGCATTCCTAGTGTATGCCACCATGCCCAGTTTGCATCTTATTTTTAACAAAAAAAGTTAAAAGTTACACATTTCTTTTAATAGAAACAAAACTTACAGAATAATGACATAAAGAAAACACTGTACACCTGCGCAATGTATTTGTCTTAAACTACATATTATTACAAAAGAGTCAAAGGGTTTTAAAAATATAAAAGTTTATAAAATAAAAAAGTTGCATCACAGGGCTGGCAGGTGGCATGGTGGCTAAGGGCACTGGACTCCCACATGGCCAACCACAGTTCGAGTCCTGGACCTGCTTTCTTGCTTTCTCTCTCTCTCATTCTCTGATCAAATTAAAAATAAATAAATAAAAGCCAAAATAAAATAATCCTTTCAAAAAAGTTGTATCAGGTGATCAGGAAAGTCATGACGTATTCTTCTATGCAAAAACGCATCACGACTTTCCCAACTCAATAGTAGGCTTCGGTTTATTATCGAAGAGGTACTCTTTTTTTTTTAAAGTTTTTTTGCCATAAGGCACATGCACTCACTGGAGAGGGACAGAGAGAAAGTAAAAAACACCCCCCTAGGAGGCATGGCCATGCCGCAATCCCTTCTCCTACAGTCTTCTCTTTGGCTTTTGGGCATGCATATACATGTACCCAGTGTGATTTTCAAGCTGCCAGGTCTGGGACTCAAACCATAGTTGGCCATGTGGGAATCCAACGCCTTAACCACACCTCTTGCTAGTCCTTTTATACCGTATTTTTACCGTGCCTTTTCTATGTTTAGATACACAGACACCGTTTAATCGTGATCTCCTGCAATAGCCAGTACAGTAACACGTGCAAGGCTTATGGCCTAGGAGCAGTAGATGGCGTCGTAGAGCCTAGGGACACAGCAGGCTACACTGTCTAGGTCTGCGTGAGTACACTGTCGATGTTCACATGATCATGAAATCACCTAACAGCACATTTCCAGGAAGCACCCCGTCACTGAGTGACACGACTGTACATGTATATACCACACACACACACACACACACACACACACACACACACACACCCTGCTGCTTCTCTGGAGAGCCCTGACTAGTACACAGGTCCAGGTCTCCTCTCTCCTTTTTTTTTTTGCTTATACAACTTCCTTTATTTTGCAAGGATCATTGCCTTATTGATCCTCCCTCTTTTTTTTGAAGTTTTTTTTTTTTTCCTTTCCATAGGGAGTATGAGAAATGGATAGAGACAGTGAGAGAGAAAGTGAGGAATCTCTCCCCACCCAGGGGGAGGCCATGACGCAATCCCTTCTCTATTCTCCTTTATGGATTTTGAGCACACCCATGCCCGGCATAATTTTTAAGTCACCAGGTCTGGGACTCGAACCATGGTCGGCCATATGGGAGCCCAGTGCCTTAGCCACTACATCCTCCCTCATTTTTAAGGGCTCAAACTTCAATCCGAACTCGTCTGTATCTGCCAAAGGAGTGCTGAGGTGACCTGGGGGCCTGAAACGACAGGACAAACATGACGCGAGACTGCACCAGAAAGTCAGACTTAATTTGTCAGCCTTTATTAACCAAGAGTGAAGCCGAGCCCTAGAGTTCCCTTTTAAAAAAAACTCAACCTTGTTTATGGCAAACGATTTAACTCTTAATGACTTGTAATTATATGTTCGATGCTACACAGCAAGAATTGATTGCTTTCCAATGACTTATTCTTCTAAGATTAAAATACAAGTGTAAAAGTGGTTAAAATAAGACTCACCCTAATGATTTAAAAAAATAATCCCAATTGAAAGACATTTCAAACACTATGTGTAGAACTCAGGACCGAAAGAAGACCTTAAAACATTTTTACCTTTGAGGTAGCATAATAATGCTGAATTCGATTTCTTTTATTACAATGAGCTTAAAAAAAAAAAAAAGGAAAGAAAAAAGAAGAATATCTACCCTTTGCTCGAGGCGGGCTCCATGGTTTTCTGCAAATCCCCCATGAGGTTAGTGACACTATTTGTGTTCGTTTTTTTCCTTAAAGTATAAAGATAGCCCTGCAGTGTGTAGAAGGAGACCCACGGGAAGGCTGCTCCCCGTAAAGCAGACATTAGAACCACTGAGGGACGTCAGCAGTCGAGACAGAGGAACAAGAGGTAATCGCTGTGAGAGACCGGAACGACTCACACCTTGGCAAGACTGGTTTACAAGTGCGTGTCAAGAATAAAAATGTCAACATCCGCCAACTAAAAACAAAAGATAAAAGATGACATTCATGGGTCTTTTTCCTTTTTCTCTGTGCAAAATGCTTTCACTTTTCCTAAACGAGGGAGGGCTGTTCGTGCACTGAGGCATGACGTGAAGTGCTGTGCACCCAGGGCGCCTCGCACTGATGATCCACCACTGCGAGCAGAGAAACTGGACGGTCAGAGGAAGGATAGAACCTCTCCTGGCTAGAGAAGCAGTCCTTGCCACCCTGCTGCTGAATTTGCTCATTAAACTGCTCAAAGAATAGCTTTACCCTGGTTTCTGAGAATCTATAGCAAGTACAGGTAACACAATTATATATGAAAACTAATAAAGACTAAGAGGACAAGAGGACGTGAACCAACCATGAGAACAGAGTGGGTGGCAGAAGCTGGGGACCAAAAGGAAGGACAATACTGTGGGTTGGACATCATGGCTCTCAGTTGTAGTCTTTACCCAATCAATCGCATAGCCAGGAGAGGGCGTGTAGCTCTAACCCATAGAAGAGAACATGATGCAGTTAACAAAAGGATCTCTTCCCAACACACGCCCCTCCCCATGAGGCTCAACCAGCAGTGCAGGGCTTGCCTGGTACAGCGTAGACAACATAGCCCTGGGTCGAACTTGGTCGGCCACCTCGCAAAGGAAACTGGAAGGCTGTCAGGTCCTGGCACTCCCATCATAGCTCCATCCCATTTCATTCACACCGGCCCTGTTAAAGTCTCCCTTCCTCAAGCTAGACTCCCCACAACGGCCCTGTGTGCAGTGAGGGCCTGGACTCATGATCCCCATGTCAGTCATTGCTGAGAGCAGGGGGACTTAAGCCTGATAAAGTCTACTTTAAAATAACGACCACCAGTGAGTCAGGGGATCTCAAGGGGGGCTCTGTGAAGACTAGCCTGGGATGTGCGAGACGGCAGAGAAGGCCCACCCCGAGAGGCCTGCAAGAGTGACTCCAGCATGGAATTTGGTCAGGCTTAACTAACGCCGGCATGGGGGTGAGGAGGAGACCTCTACTCAGTGCCTGGAGTCCTCGCAAGGTCTGACGCTGAACCTCTATGACTCCTGAAGCCTTTGCAAGAGACAGGTGTGGTTCTTGTCTGCTAAAGAGCAAGACAAGAATTCGTTTATAAAGCAACACCATAGAAAAGAAGAACCTTAGGAAAACATGGGATCACCACCCGGCTTTCCCAGTGCTAGCTGCCTGTTTTGGAGGGTTCGTTATTACCTTTCACGATTCCGAGAGTTGCAATACAGGCTACCTAGACAGCCTGAAAAGTCCTTCCGCTTTCCCTTGACGGGGCACAAGGTTGTGGTGGGCTACCCACTCTGAAAATCTCTTTGCCACACTGCCCATGGCAAAAGCAGAGTGCCCAGCTTGTGTGGCAAAGGGAAGGTGACTGTGTGGGCTCCGTCATCCACAACAGGAATGACCTAAGCCCCAACATGTAATCTCCTAGGGATTTATTGGGTTATGTAAGTAAAAGGAAACCAAAAAATCATATTAGAAAGGGCCTCTTGATTTAATATAAACTTGGCTAAGACATTCAGATTTATCTTGATGCCACTTCTTACTGCTCCTAGGATCCTTTATAGCATCTGATTCGAAGCCATTCTGAAGAAAAAAATTTCATTCTAAAATACACTAGTTAATTAAAATAATTAAACAGAATTCAATTTACATAACTAGAAGATTAAAAAACATTTTAAATATATCACTTTCTTCTGAGATTAATGATTAGAATGCCAAATATCTCAACATTTTAATTAGAAAGGCCTTCACAGTTAATTCTGTGACATTTTAAGTGATGCCAGTCTTTGAAAATAATAGGCAGTTGATGTTGAGGATGAAAGCCTGACAGATCGACATTTATACTCCACACATATATGACTATGTCCAAAGGGAATTCCCTAAACAAGGAAATAATTTTAATTTCAAAAAAATAGCTGCTTCTTTAAAGAGTTTAAAAACGGATGGGTTCAACAGCAAAGCTACGCAACGGCTCTGGAGTGGAAGAGGGCTCTCTGCAGTGCCACCTCTTGCTGGCACACTGCCATTAGCTGGTAGAGGCAACTGGACACGAGACCCAGCAAGTTGCCCGGGACGGTGGGTCGGACAGAGCAACGGCACTCCCAGGCCCTGGCTCCTTATAAATGGATAGCCATTCGTTCATGCAAACTGCACAGAGGTTTAAAAAACAAAAACAAACAAACAAAAAACCCTACTGAACAAATTCAAAAGCAAAACCCCCAACCCAGGACACCTTTCCAGGCCCTCTACTACTGGCAACATGTGCCGAGTCCAAATTCTCTGCCCCGGTGGGCCCTGCTGACCTGTCTGCCTGCTCCGGGGTGCTGACCCACTGGGCCCTGGCCAGGGCCTGTCCCTACACATCCCTGTGGGTTTGGAGACAGCTGTCATGTGGACAGCCATCGGCAGACAGCACAATGCCACTGGGCCACAGCCCTCCATCGCCTGCTGCCGTGCCCCACTGTACAATCGAAGGCTGTGACTGTGAACAAACGTGGACTTTCTCAAAGGACAAATGAGGAGGTCAAAGGCTACAGCATTTTCTCCCTTGAGAAAGACTGGGGGAGGGTGTCTACAGTTAGAGAAGAGGTTCCTGCAGACCTCGTGGTAACTTCCAAAAGCGAGTAGCAGCGAGAGAGGAAAGGAGGTGTTTACACTTTGGACTTTGTATCAGGCACTTGGATTGTTGGAGAGACATGCCATTCTGAACCAAAGATGTGACAACTGGGTTGGAGTAATCGTTATGAGTGGTCTAATAATGGGCTTTCAGAAGCAAGTGGAGGTGTGGGTCGAACCTCTGCCCATCCTTCAGTGCTGACTTTCGAGTTTCCTAAATGCCCATAACCACAGCAACGGCAGCGGCGGTGGCAGCAGCAGAACGGTTGTCATGTCTGCTCTCTGTGTGTGTTCTGTGGCTGACCGGAAGGTGTTGGTGTCACGCTGAAAAAGCTCTGGGGTGTGGCACACCTACTGCCCGGGGTCGATCAGATCCAGGCTGGAGCCGAACATCTTCACCAGCTGTTCCTCGTAGTGCGAGATGTTCCTCTTCATGATGTCCATGCAGGGCCCCAGAAGCCTCTCGAAGGCTTGTACGTCCATGACTGCATTGTGGAAAGAGGTGGGAGGGGAATGAATTCTCTGCACTAACAGCTCAAGTCACCCCCTCACGCAAACGTTTTCCTAGATGTACCTGGTCACGTTACCATTCAGACTTTGGGATACTGGGCACTTGGAAAAGGGACGTCTGTACGTAAAGGCAACAAGGCTGCACCCGCCCAAGGTGAGCCTGCGCGCTTCGGCAGCACTTGCTCTCCCCGGCTCCCCATGGTCCTGGGCACCTGCCCCCACTACTGCTCTTCCATGCAGCTGCGGCCGGGGGCCTGTGCGGCTGCGTTCTCACAGGCTGTGCTTAGTGCTCAGAAACGTTTGCTAAAATGAATCCACCGGCCAGACCTCGGTGTGAGTGAGAGCTGGTGGGGGAAGTCAAGGCTGGCTGATGGGAAAGACGCTACGTGTCAGAAAAAGCATGAAAGCATAAAGAAGGGTTCTCACCCAAGCACTTGACGTCTCCGACTGCATACGCCGAGGCGGCCCTGGGTTTGTTGGTGACCAGTGCAAGCTCTCCGAAGTACTGCCCCTTGTGACAGCGGGCAATCTCGACCTCCTGGTTCTCACCATCCTTGTTGGTTTTAGTCTGCAGCAGGTAGAGAACACGACCTGTGCTGACCCAGGACCAGCCAAGCAAGTCCAGTGGACACACTCACGTTCCCTTCTCAGCACACTCAGCAGTTACGAGGAATTCACTTTGCACAGACTCTGCCTGTACCAGGTAAACTCCCTGGCCTCATCTCAACAGTCTGCTTTAATCAGAGGAGCTGGCTTTCACTTGGGCTATGTCCAAGTCTTAGGATCTGTCAGGCAATGGTTAAATATCAAGAGGTAAGGTGCAGACCGTTTTCTGTGGGAGATTATATACTCACCTTCGGGGAGGTGATTACTTTTCTTTAGGTTTGCTTATACTTATTTTGTGTCAGAGACAGAGACAACACCTCAACAGGGTCTTACATGGCAATCCTTCCCCCAGCCTCTGCCAGCCAGGATCGCGGGCACACGTACACACACCTGGCATGTTCAGGTTGACCAGAACCGAACCGGACCATCCATGTGACTTCCAGCACTGCAGGGCATGGTGCTACTGCTGCCCCCATGAGGCACAGTGCGAAAGCTGAGTTTTCTAAATAATGACAAGGCTTCTCTGGGAATGAGTCACCACCCCAGGGTGCCTTTCTTGGCGTGAGATCATGCCTTTCTAGGATAATAGTCTACATTAATCAGACTTGCTTGTTTGTTTGCTATTGGGACTGTATGCTCAAAGAGCGAAATCACCTCCTGGGGGGATGACCACTTCGCAGTCCCTTCTCTGTTCTCCTCCCGAATTTTAGACACCCACAGACATGCCCCCACTGTGTTTGCAAGCCTCTGGGTCTGGGACTCGAGCTGCTCAGTCAGCTATGTGGGATCCAGCTGCCTTAACCAGTATACCACTGGTTGGCTCAAGACTTCGTTTTATTATTATTTAGTTTTGCTATAGGGTATGCACACTTGCCAGAGAGGACAGAAAGATAGGGAAAGTAAAAAATCACCCCCCAAGGGAGATGGCCACACTGCAATCCCTTCTCCTCCATTCTCCTCTCAAGATTTTGGGCACGCACACCAGCACATACACACGTACGTGGTTTTCAAGCTGCTGGCTTCAGGCCTTGAACCATGCAGTCAGCCATGTGGGACCCGGCTGCTTTAAGCTCTGTGCTCACCCCCCAAGACTCCTTTTTCAAGTACTGTCTGTACCTTAGGTTAGTGGTCCCACCTGCTCCACCATTTATTAGAAGAATTAACTAACTAAAAAAAGATTTATAATATAATTGCAATATCTAGAGTTTCCTATAGCTTTATAAATTCATGTCCTAAGGAAAAATTTAAGTAAAATATTTATTTAGAATTATTAATAAGGGGGGCCGGCAGGTGGTGTGGTGGTTAAAGGTTCTGGATTCCCACAATGCTGACTGCAGTCTGAGTCTTGAACCTGGTGACTGCAGGCTTCACTTTCCCTTTCTCTCTCTCTCTCTCTCTCTCTCTCTGGTCAAATTTTAAAATAATAGTAACAACTGGAACTAACTAACTAACTAAATCTTTTTTTCTAAAAAAAGAATTAATAAAGATTAGCCTTGGGGCTAGCAGGTGGTGCAGATGTTAAGGTGGCTGTACCCCACATGGCTGACTGCATGGTTAGAGTCCGGGACTCAGCAGCATGAAACCCACAGAGTGCATGTGCATACATGCCCAAAATCCTGAGAGGAGAATGGAGAAGGGATTGCGGCATGGCTGTTCCCCTTGGGGAGTGATTTTACTCTCTCTAGCTTGCGTGGCTGGGTTTTTCCCCCTGTTTCACTTCTGCCCTGACCTGTCTGCTCTGAGCTCTGTCTGCTCCATCTAGCCAACGTCCTCCTTCCAGTTTCTGAAGCACCATCTGGGACTGCAGATGTATGCGTGCCCGCTTAGCCCCTTCCCTGGAAGAGCACTCAGCACACTGGCACACCCGCACCAGCTCCCTTACCAGGCAGGTTTCCTTACAACGCAGATTCCGACTCACTGGCCTACAGCAGAGCCAACTCCCCAGCACCACGCTGTTTGGGCCCTGCATGCCTAGCACTACGCGGTGATCAAAGCAGCTGTCAAGGCATATCTGAGAACTGCACACACATATGCCAGCAGTCCAGAGGTTGTAAGCAAAAGAACGCACGGGACCAGCAGTTAGCGTAATGGCTATGTCACTGGACTCCCATGCAGTTGACCGCAGTTCGCATCCCGGACCTGGTGGCTTAAAACTCACGCTGGGTGCGTGTGCGTGTGTGCCCAAGATCCCAAGAGGAGAATGGAGGAGAAGGGATTGCGGTGTGGCCATCCCCCCGGGGGGTGATTTCTCGCTTTCTGTCTCTGTCTGTCTGGTGAGTGCACGCGCCTTATAGCAAAAACCTCTCCAAAAAAAAAAAAAACAAAGAACGCAGAAAGAAGTTCTGGCCCAGTTGAGGTGGCGCAGACAGTTCCCCCAGTCTCATTGCTGTGCAATGCTAGGGACCATGTGTGAAGGCTCTGGGTCTCTGTCCTGGTCTATCTGCACATGGTCGTGTGCTGGTAATCTTGGCTGGCTGCAGGAACTGGGGGAGGACAGTGGTGTGAAGACCCTGCTAAGGGTGTCTGATTCCATCTCTCTCAGAAAATAAACTTAAACACACACACACACACACACACACACACACACTTAAAATTATTTTATTTTGGGACCAGCAGGTGGCATAGTGGTTAAGGTGCTGGACTCTCCCATGCAGCCAACCATGGTTCAAGTCCCTGACCTGGAGGCTTGCTTTCTCACTTTCTCTCTCTCACACACTCTCTCTCTCTCTCTGGTCAAATTAAAATAAATGAATGAATAAATAAAATTAAATAAATAATTTAAAAAATTAGTGTGTTTTGTTTTTTAACTACAGGGTACATGGGCTTGTCAGAGAGACCCAGAGAGAGGAGGAAAGTGAGAAAGCACCCCCAAGGGGGATGGCCACACCACAATCTCTTCTTTATTCTCCTCTTGGGACTTTGGACAGGCACGTACATGCATCGGTGTGCTTTCCAAGCATGTGAACCAATAGATCATGTTTTTCTTTATTTCTCCACACTTAACGTCTAAAAAAAATTATTTAATTCTATTTATTATTATTTTTTTCTTAATATGACCAGAGAGAGACAGAGAGAGAGAGATGGAAAGTGAGAAAGCAAGCTGCCAGATCTCGGACTCGGACCATGGACAGCCAAGTGGGAATCCAGCTCCCTGAACCACCATGTTACCTGCTGGCCCCTCCATACTTAACTTTTACTAAATATATTTCACAAAAGGTTTCATACTATCTAGCTTGTTTAGTATTACATATAATCTACTGTTCTAACAAATTCTATACCCCCCCCCAAAAAAGAAAAGAAACAGAAATATCTGGTGATGATAGATTTGCTGCTAAGAGTAACTCCTCCTTGGGGTTGGTAGGTGGTGTGGTGGTTAGGAATAATAATAATAATAATAATAATAATAATAATAATAATAATAATAATAAATAAAGTTAAGCGAAGAAGCTTAAAAAAATAAAAGAATCACTCCTCCTAATTATAGGTTATCAGTTTTCTGGGTCACCCTTCCATTAAATTGTCATGATAATAATCATCCTAGAGACCACCAAGCTTTCTTCATATTCAGCCTACTTTTATTACATAACAAAATGGAATTTCTATTACATAATTTCTCCACTTTCAGTGCCCCCATCTTTAGGGGTGTGTCCCAAGGCCCTGAATGGATGCCTGACACGACCGCTGGGACTGAACCCTGCCTAGGCTGGGGATCTCTTACCCAAACTGCTTGGGATCAGAAGTGTTTCAGACTTCAGGTTTCTCACATTATGGGATATTTACCTACACATAATGAGATATCTTAGGGATGGGACCCAAGTCTAAACATGAAGTTCATTTACATGTCATATATGCCTTACATACACAGCCTGAAGGTAACATTACATGAGACTTTCATATTACAGTGTTTGACTACAACCCATCACATGTAGTGAGGGTGAAATGTTCCATTTGTGGAGTCGGGTGGTGCTCAAAAAGTTTCAATTTTTTTTTAAAAGAATTATTTTACTGGGACCAGCAGTTGGCGTAATGGCTATGTCGCTGGACTCCCGTGTAGTCAACCATGGTTCGAGTCCCAGACCCGGTGGCTTAAAGTCACACAAGCATGTGTGAGTGTGTGCCAAAGATCCCAAGATCCTGAGAGGAAAAAGGGTTGTGGCGTGGCCATCCCCCCTGGAGAATGATTTCTCACTTTCTGTCTCTCTGTGTTTCTGGTGAGCACAAATGATTTATAGCAAAAACCTCTCCGAAAAAAAAAAAAAAAGGAATTATTTTACTTTATTTATTTATCTATCTATTTATTTATATTTGACCAGAGAGGACAGAGAGAGAGACAGAGAGAGAAAGTGAGAAAACAAGCCACCAGGTCTGGGACTTGAACCATGGACAGCCATGTGGGAGTCCAGCATCCTTTACAATCAAGCCACCTGTCAGCCCCTAGATTTTAGAGTATTGCAAATCGCAGACTATTGTATTCAGGATGCTCACATATACTAAACTTTTCCTATACATACAAACCAATGATAAAGTTTTCTTTACATATTGGGTACAGTATGAGACTAATAATAACAAATAATAAAATAAGACAACTGTTACAATATACTATCATAAGAGTTATGTGAATGTGGCCTCTCAAAATATCTTATTAAACTGTACCATACTCACCTATTCTGGGGCCACAGTAACGAAATCTGCAATGAATGGACTTAAACATGCGTCTTTGCCGATCACGCACCTCAGTAACAATGACGACTTACTGCATTAGACATACTTGGCACTATGTAAAGTGACCGGTACTTTCTGTGCATACATCTGGCACCTGGGACTTCCCTGGTGTAACTCACACCATCACACATAAACTCACCTTGCTTCTAATCAAGATGCTCACTTCGCCGGACTCGATGATGTAAAAGCTATCAGCCTTTTCACCCTGAAAGGAGACAGGTCAGGTCAGAGTGCCATACATACTCTTAAAGAGGAATATGGAAACAGATCACTTTCTCCATCTGAACTCTGATTTGTATTTGTTTTCAAGAGGTTTTTGCTATAGGGTACATGCGCTCACCAGAATGAGAGAGAGAGACAAAAAGTGAGAAATAACCGCTGGGGGGATGGCCACGCCACACTCCCTTCTTATCCATTCTCCTCTCAGGATCTTGGGCACACATGTACATATGCCCGGCGTGAGTTTAAGCCACCGGGTTCAGGACTCAAACCACCGTCAACGACATGGGAGTCCAGCGACATAGCCATTACGCTGACTGCTGGTCCTGGATTTGTATTTTTTTAAAGAATGATTTTATTTAACTTTATTTATTTTAATTTGACCAGAGAGGGACAGAGTGAGAGAGAGAGAGACAGAGAGAGAGGGAACAAGCCGCCGGGACTTGAACCAAGGTTGGCCATGTGGGAATCCAGAGCCCTTAACCACCATGCCACCTGCCAGTCCCTGATTTGTATTTATCTTCTAACTCAACAAACAAATCGGTGGCCAGCAAACTTAGAACAAAATAGGAGGCTCCTGATCATGGGGTGTCGATAGCTATGACTAACACATCTCCCGCCTCTTCACATGGAATATCACATCTATCCCCACAAACATGCCCCGACTGCCAACTACACAGGTGTCACTATTCCGACTGTTCCCATTGGTTTGCTAGTGAGACCTAGGACAGGGACCAGCAGCCAAGACTGCTGCAGGCAATATCAAAGTCACTGCGGAGGAAGAAGCCCAAGCGTGACCTTGCCCATCAGACACAGCCCTCAACAGGTCAGCTGGACCCAGAAGACTCGGCACTGGGGAGGGAGGAGCTCTGTGCCCACTAATGAGCCTCAGGCTTTTCGTTTGTTTTGATTTTAAACCACTTGACAGAAGTAGTCATTCAGGTAATTCAACAAATCATTTACGAAATCCTACGTGGCAGCCACTGTGTCTGGCACGAGAGGTACACCAGTGGAGGAGAACAAGTATCCCTGCCCTTGCCGAAACTGCAGGCTGGCAGGGTAAACACATTGTCAACTCGCAATCCATCTGCAAAGACTGTGGTGCTGGAAGTGATGAGTGCGGGAAGAAAAGTGGAGGGCAGGGCACGTAAGAGCTGGCGTGAGATCTGGTGGGCACGGGGCAGCCACCGTACACAACAGAGCTTTGCTGGGAGGGTAAGAGTAGAGCCAAGCTGCGAGTGAGCGGCCAGCAGAACGGGAGAGGCTTTCGGGCCACCGCAGTCTGGCCGCTCACTAACTTCTGAAGCATCAACCGTCTATGCTGGATAGCTCAGTCCTGCTCCTGAGCTCCTGTTCCACGAAGGTCTTACGTCTCCGGCCGGATCCCACACTTCATCTGAGCACTCACGACCTCACGCCCTCTGAGTGCCACACAGAGCCCCAGCGGGCATCACACACGGCTCAGGCTGATGTCCCAGTCCCAGGGCAGACACACCACTGCCCCACGTGAGTGAGACACACAGCTTCACAGAGGGCACCCATGGGCTGGACTTCTGTGCTGTGGTGTCAGGTGGGTCTCCTGCTCCCAGCAGAACCAAAGCACCGTGAAGCTCTAGCGTTTCAGACACACACACGATGGGAGCTGACAAGATGGGGAGCCGTGAAGAGCACACTGGAAGAGTGTCCTGCTCTTCAGGTGTTTGGGTCCACCGACAGGCTCTGAGCGCGTCTCAGGACATTCTGGTCCACATTCAGAGGGACAGAAACCAGACTACTGCACTGACATCCTTGGGAACAAGTCAGGTGCTTCAGCAAACAGGTCCTGAATGTCTGCTATGTGCAGGGCTGACGGGTTATCATCCGTAATCTGAAGTCCACTGGGTTTTATTAGATAAATGTCTTCTTCACAAATGATGAAGTAAGATCCACACTCTACCATAAGAATGACTGAAGCCCTAATTTTCAGGACATGGAATCTTTTCTGTAATACTTAATACATGAAACATGCCTTCTTTAAAATACAAAGCAATTTCTGTTTACATTACTGTGAGACTAAGCAAAATATTTTACCAATTAGGAAAACTATAAATTATGCAAGCCGTTACAAAGAACCTAACGGTGAGTGTTGATGAATTTGAAAGGACTTAATAAACTCCCAAGGGGCCTGCTGGCCAGGGGCTCACTGACAGCACTGGAACCTTCCCGCAGGGGTGGGCTTTGCAGAGGGTTGAATTTTGCCACCATACCACCATCCAGCCTACTAGCCATTTTTAAAAACAGTTTGGTCTGGGACTAGCAGATGCCATAATGGTTATATCGCTGGACTCCCATATAGCTGACCACAGTTTAAGTCCTGGACCCAGTTGCTTAAAACTCATGCTGTCATGTGTGCCCAATATCCCAAACAGCATGGCCATCCTCCCTCGGGGGGTGATTTCTTGCTTTCTGTCTCTCTGGTGAGTACACACACCCTATAGAAAAAAATCTCTCTCTTAAAAAAAAAAAGCAGTTTGGGGCTGGCAGGTGGCATGGTGGTTAAGGGTGTTGGACTCTCACGTGGTCGACTATGGTTTGAGAGCCGGACATGGTGGGTTGCTTTCTTACTCTCTCTCTCCTTCTCTGTCCCTCTCTGATCAAATGAAAATAAATAAATAATTTAAATAAAATAATTCTTTTTTTTTTTTAAAGTAGTTTGGCCTTGGGCCGGCCATAATAGCATGTGTGCTGGTAGATGCTGATACTTGGCAGGCTGAGGCCATGCTGGAAGGCCCTGGTTTGAGTCCCAGAACCCCAGGGCCAGTCACAGTGATGCATATCTGTAGTTCCAGCTACACAGAAGGATGAGCCAGGGGGCTGCAGCATAGTGAGGCCCTGTCTCACACACATACAACCAATCTGGCCTTTTGTTCCAGAGTTAAACATATGACTCAGCAATTCCAATCCTAGGCATTTACCCAAGAGTAATAAAAACATATGTCTAACAAAGACGTATATACTGATATTAGTTGACGCTTTATTCATAATTGTACAAAACTGAAAAGAATCCAAATGTTCCTCAACTGGTGAACAGAGAGACAAATCATGATCCATCCATACAATGAAATATTACTCAGCAATAGAAAAATACAGTCTATGGGGACCAGCATACTGGGCTCCCACAGAGTCCACCACAGTTTGAGTCCCAGACCCGGCAGCTTGAAACTCATGCCAGACACGTGTGCGTGCGTGCCCAAAATCCCAAGAAGGGAATGGAGGAAAAGAGATTACAGTGTGACCATCTCCCTTTTGCGGTGATTTTTTGATTGCTCTCGTTCTCTCTCTCTCTCTCTCTCCTCCTGGCACACATACAGGGTCTACAGCAAAAATCTTTCGTTAAAAAAAAAGAAATACAATCTACTTATACGCACAATGATACATAGAATCATCAAAAGCATTGTGCTACGAGAAAGACTTGTAAGAAACTCTAGAAAAGGGACTTCGGCAGTGAGAGAAAGCACACCAACAGTTCCCAGAAGTCAGGGTGCGGGGAGGGCACTAACTGCAGACATGAACGAGGGCTCTGCGGTGACGGCAAAGCTGTGCGGCATGACTGTGGTGCTTACACAACTCGCCAATTACATGCTCGGACCTGGTCATTTTATTGTATCTAAAAACATACTCAAGAAAAGCTGACCAAGGAAAAAACTTAAAATGGTTTGGACTCAGTGGGTCTGCATGGCACCCAGGAACTTGTACTTCTAGCAATTTCTGATATTCCCAGATGATGCCTATGCTGCTGGTCCTGGGGCCTGACCATACTTGGAGAGTATGTTTAGAGACACTGCCAGAAAGGGCTTTCAAATGAATTGGGTATTATTTTTTTTTTCCCTCTAGAATTATTTAATTATATTTACTATTATTATTATTTTTTAATTTGACCAGAGAGAGAGAGAGAGAGGCAAAGTGAGAAAGCAAGGCTCTCTAGGTCTGGGACTCGAACCTCAGTCGGCCATGGGGGAATCTAGCACCTTAACTACCATGCCAGCTGGTGGTCCCTGCTGGGTATCATCTTAACTCATGTCCATTCTACACCAATATCCAGCATTCTTGTTTGCAAGAGCACGGACACTCCAGAAAACAGTAGCTTCTCATATCTCCTGACACACTTCATGAAGACTTAGTGTGAAAGACACAGGGGACTGGGACCAGCAGTTGGTGTAATGGCTATGTTGGTGGTAGTTCGAGGCCCAGAGCCGGTGGCTTAAACTCACGCTGGACACGTGTGTGTGCGTGCCCAAGATCCTGAGAGCAGAACGGAGGAGAAGGGATTGCGGTGTGGCCATCCCCCCTGGGGAGTGATTTCTCACCTTTTTTAAGGTTTATTTATTGGGGCTGGGAGGTGGCATGGTGATTAAGGGCATTGGACTCTCACATGACCAACCACGGTTCGGGTCCCAGACCTGGCAGCTTGCTTTCTCACTTTCTCTCTCTTTGTCCCTCTATGGTCAAATTGAAATAAATAAATAAATGAATAAATAAAATTAAATAAAATAGTTCTTTAAAAAAAGGTTTAGGGACCAGCAGACGGTGTAATGGCTACATTGCAGAACTCCCATGTAGTCAACTGCAGTTCGAGTCCTAGCCGGTAGGTTAAACTCAAGCCGGGCGTGTGTGTGTGTGTGTGTGTGCCCAAGATCCTGAGAGGAGAATGGAGAAGGGACTGTTGTGTGGCCATCGCCCCTGGGGGATGATTTCTCGTTTTCTGTCTCTCACGTGCCCTATAGCCAAAAAAAAAAAGGGGGGGGCTTTGCAGAACATGGGGCTTAGAACCTCGCAACAGGAGCTCCCATGAGAAGAAGAACATATCAGTCTTATGAGGGGCCAGCAGGTGGTGTGGTAGTTAAGGCGCTGGACTTCCACATGGCTGACTATGGTTCAAGTCCTAGACCTGATGGCTTGCTTTCTCACTCTCCCTCTCTCTGGTCAAGTTAAAAACAAAAATAATGATGAATAAAATTAAATTAAAAATAATTATTTATAAAAGCCCTACAAGACAAGCAGTGCATGAGCCCGCTGAGGTGACGGCCAGAAAGGAGCCGCAGCACGCTCACCTGAGTGATGATGCGCTCCCCATCCTTGTAGACCTTCTCTCCGATCACATCCACAATCTTCATTCGCTCTGACACCTGAAAGAGCAGGCGCACCGCACGTAAGGAAAAGAACTCCACTGCGAGCGAGACATCGATACACGACAGAGGTGGGTTCGTGTAGTTCGAAAACATACAACAGAGTAGTTTACAGGGTTCCTAACCCCACAGACACTCTTCCGCAAATAAACTTTACCTCCAGTGATTTAAGGAGGGGCACGGATTCAATAAATGATTCAAACATCTTCCTCTTTTTTGCATTGTTTTTCACTATGATTCTTCTAAAAGTCACCCGATCCTGTAAGAAAGAACAGGAAGTTTCTAGCAAATGCCTGTGTAAGAATGTCGGTAGGTTTGGTGGGGCCCAGCAAATATCAGGACCATGGGAGGCACTGTGTCAGCTGTACTGTGTGAGTGTTTCTTCAACCTCGACTCTTCACTGGAAGAAAAAGCCCCGAGCCAGGCCAAGGCCCTGCATGCTGTTCCGTGTGCACTGGGTGCCACCTATGGGTCGTGAATAGAACAGCAACAAAAAACTCCCAGATGCTCCTGGGCTCTCACTCTGAAATGGATCCTTCCAACAAAGGAGGAAATAAAACAGACAGTCCTTCCCTCAAGGCATTTACAGTGTGAATGGGAAGGTGATACAAAGTAGATAGGAGTAACAGGGCTACAGCTCCAGGTGCATGAGAAGGTCCTAGTGGAACTGGGAGGACAAGTGCTGCAGAACCTCCATGTGGGGAGAGGTCACAGTAGGTAGGAGTGGGCAAACACAATTCTGGAGCAAAAAAACAAATCGGAGTCAGCAGGTGGCGTGGTGGCTAAGGTGCTGGACTCTACATGGTTGACCACGGTCTGCGTCCTGGACCTGGTGGCCTGCGTTCTCACTTTCCTTCTCTCTCTGTTTCTCTTTGGTGGGCACACACGCCCTGAAGCAAATTAAAATAAAAAAATAACAATGATGACAAAATAAAAATTAAATAGATAATTCTCTACTAAAAAAAAAATACCGAGTCAATGAAAAGCCCAAGGAGAGAGACCCAGAAGTAAAGGGAACTAATGCGTCGTGAGAGGAAAACTGGCTGTGACTCACCAGTCCCCAAAGGGAGCCTTCGGAGTTGGCAACGATGGTGGCGGCCCGTGGGGTGTTGTACATCAGAGCGAGTTCTCCGAAACTGCCACGGTTGTCATACCGACCGACGGAGCGGGTCTGATTATCTTTTGTTACTAAAATGTCATAGGTTCCCCTGGAAGAATGTCAAGGAACAATTTCATTAATTATTTCTGAGAATAAATGCAAAAACTGTGGCACGTACATATTGTTTTAGAAGATTCCCAGCAGAATTTTGCTAGTATATAGAAATGCTACAGAATTTCACATTTTGACTCTGTATCCTGTGACCGTGTTTAATGTTTAGTTCTGGCTTTTCTCTAGCACTCTGAGAGTATTCCACAGAGGACCGGGGCACCTGCGACAGAAACAGTTCCACTTCTGCCACCTACTTTCCGTGTCCCTCCTTCCCGTCCTGCCCTGTCTTTGTCTTACTGCGTCGGCTAAGACCTCCAGTACAATGCCGAGTGGACGTGGACAGAGCAGGAAACCTTATCTCGTTCTCCATCTCAAGGGGAAACATGGTCTCTCACCACTAAACATGATGTTAGCTGTGGGTTTTTCAGAAATCCTTAGGTCATGTTGGAGTCCTTTCTATTCATAGTTTTTTCTATTAATAGGTGCTGAATTTTGTTAAATGCTTCGTTGCAGATATTGAAACGACCGTATGAGTTTTCTTTCATTATCTGTTGAAAATGAAATGTAACTGATTCGAATAAAACATGTGCTAGCCTAGTGATTAGGGAACCAGATCCCACATTGACTGACAGTGCTTCAAGTTCTTGCCCCAGCATGCTGCGTGCGCATGTGCACGCCCAAAACCCCAACAGGACTGAGCAATGGAGAAGGCACTGCGGCATGACCACATTTCCTCGGAGGGTGCCTTCTCCTCCTCCCCCACCTCTGCCTCTCTGGCAAGCACATGCACTCTGTCCGTTGAAAAACAAAAACAAACAGGAAAAAAATTGGGAAAATCTCAGTAAGGTCTGCACATCAGATGTAGTATTATATAAATGTTAATTTCTGAATTTTAGGGGCCAGCAGGTGACATGGTTAAGGGCACTAAACTCCCACATGGCCGACCGCAGTCCGAGTCCTGGATCTAGCGGCTTGCTTTCTCACTTCCCCTCTCTCTCTCTCCCTCACTCTGTCCTTCTCTGGCCAAATTAAAATAAATAAATAAAGTCAAATAAAATAATTCTTCTTTTTTTTTGGAGAGGTTTTTGCTATAGGGCGCGTGTGCTCACCAGACAGACAGAGAGAGACAGAGAGACAGAAAGGGAGAAATCACCCCCCCAGGGGGGATGGCCACGCCGCAATCCCTTCTCCTCCATTCTCCTCTCAGGATCTTGGGCATGCACGCACACGTGCCCGGCGTGAGTTTAAGCCTCCGGGTCTGGGACTCAAACCGCGGTCGACTACGTGGGAATCCAGCGACATAGCCATTACACTAACTGCTGGTCCCCAAATAAAATAATTCTTAAAAAAATTTCCAAATGTTATAGTTATTCTGTGCTTAAGTGAGAGAATATCCTTATTTTTAGGAAATATACTCGGAGGTATTCAGAGATAAAGGGGTATTATATCTACAAATGTGTAGAATAAGGGAACCTGGGAACCTGAGTTTATAACAAATTTGGGGGAGGCTGGCCCAGCAGCCTAGTGATTAAGGGAGCTGGATCCCACAGGCTGACCATGGTTCAAATCTCAGGACTTGTGGCTTGAAAAACACGCAAGGCTCGTGTGCATGCATGTCAAAAAGCTCAACAAATTGGAGCGATGGGGACCAGCAGTTAGCGTAATGGCTATGTCGCTGGATTCCCACGTAGTCGACCGCGGTTTGAGTCCCAGACCCGGAGGCTTAAACTCACGCCGGGCACGTGTGCGTGCATGCCCAAGATCCTGAGAGGAGAATGGAGGAGAAGGGATTGCGGTGTGGGGTGATTTCTCTCTTTCTATCTCTCTGTCTCTCTGGTGAGCACATGCACCCTATAGCAAAAACCTCTCAAAAAAAACAAAACAAAACAAAAACAAAAATGATGGAACAATGGAGAAGGGACTGCAATGTGCCCACACTTTTCCAGGGGGGTGCCTCCTCAATTCTCTGGCACACTTGCATGCCTTCTGGTAATAAAAAAAAAGAAGGAATTAAAAAAAATTATTTGTATAATTTTTCTGTAATTCTGAAATCACTTCAAAAGAAAAAAATTTTAATTTAGAATTTAAAAATATTTTTTAGGCTTTGGCCATAGAGTATGTTCACTTGCTTGAGAGAGAGAGAGAGGGAAAAGCGAGAAATCACTCCCTGGCGCGGGAGCGGGGTTTGGCCATGCTAAACGATCCCTTCTCCTCCTGGGATTTTGGGCATGTGTGCGCCTGGTGTGATTCTCAAGCTGCCAGGTCCAGGACTTAAACCGTGGCTGGCCATGTGGGAGTCCAGTTCCTTGACTACCAAGCCACTGCTGGCCCCCAAAAGAAAAAGAATTTTTGAAAAAGGCTGGTGGAAAGTACTGAGTGAATCAATATTTTACTGATCTTAAACTATCGTGAGGGTGTTCCTTTCAGGACTGAGGAGGTTGAAGGAACACTACCTCCATGCCACTCCCACCCCAGTGCACACCCTGGGAGGACACCAACAGCACAGTAAGGAGAGCAGGTCAGACCTACATATTTACCTCCTTTCAGTAAGGCTCATACCTGGGACAGAGCCCGAGGGCTGGAGGTATGGCGTTTGGAGCGGTGTGTCCATGTGTAAAATCGAGCTGGGGTTCAAGGGTCAAAATGGCCACAGACCACAGCTATTCTTTAGGGAATCAGTTTCCTAAACACTGGCAAATAACACATTTCTAAAGCCCATCTGTGCTCTTTGCCTCACGTAAAGAAGACCTTCTACTGTTGATGGCAGCTCCCAGTACATGGGTTGTGCTGAGGACTCAGAACAGCAGCAGATGTAGAGCGCAGGTGTGGCCGCTCACAAGGCTCTGGGAAGCCTGATCACCCGGTCCGAGGTGTCTCAGGGCTGAACAGCGTAGGGAAGCACCTGCCTGGAACCATGCCCCCGGTAAGTGTGGCTGCAGCCTGCAGAGCTTTCTCCTACCGTTCGATGACATAAAAGTTGTCCCCATCATCTCCTTGGTCAATGACATGCTCGTCGACTTTGACTATCCTTTCGAACATGGCATCGAGGACTTGAGAGAGCTGTTCCTGCAAGGTGCACACAGGAGAAAGGCGGCTTTTACGTTTGCTGGGAAAGGACCACCACGCTTATCTCGATTTGTGACGACAGACTGAAATCCCCACACCGCGTGTCCTGGATTGGGCAGAACCCTAAGGGCTGTCTGAAACGATGCCCTCCTGGGCCCACTCTGCCCCACATGCCCATGCACCTCAGCAGGCAGCACAACTGCCAAGTCTTTAAGGCCATATTGCTTTGAAACGGGTTTCCACAGATCACACAGAAGTGCATTCTCTAAACCATGGTCCTGTTTTCCCAGCCACGCCCATGACAGTCACCTGCCCTGACAGCTCCACTAGGTCATGAGAAAGCCCGATGTGCCACCTTCCTCCAGGGCTTGCCATTAACAAAGCCCCCAGTCTGAAGGGCTGTGACGGCTATGGACGCATCTGGTGGAGCAGCACAGCTGCCTCTGACTAGCCAAGCACATCGCCCGAACTCTCCGAGCAGGTGATGTAAATGTAAAGAGAACAATATTATGAAATATTATTAAATTCTTTTGTCTATTCTTTTTTTTTTAAGAATTATTATATTTAACTTTATTATTATTTTCAAGTTTGATCAGAGAGAGAGAGAGAGAGAGAGAGAGGGAAAGTGAGAAAGCAAGTCACCAGGTCCAGGATGAGAACCACGGTCGGCCATGTGGGAGTCTGGTGGTCAGCCATATAAGAGTCCAGTGCCCTTAACTACCATGTCACCTGCTGGCCCCCGATATTATTAAATTTTAAAGAAAAAGTGGTCTTAGCTGGGGCGAAATATCCGTCAGACCCGGAAGCCAGTGACTGTTAGGGAAGTGCTAAAGAATGCCAGTTTCAGGGCCGGCAGGTTGCATGATGGTTGGGGGTGCTGGATTCCCACATGGCTGATCGCAGTTAGAGTGCCAGACCTGGTGGCTTATTTTCTCACTTTTCTTTTCACTCCCTCTGTCTGGTCAAATTAACAAATAACAATAAAAAATGGAAATAAATAAGTAATTTTTTTTGGAGTGGTTTTTGCTATAGCGCGTGTGAGTTCGCCAGAAAGACAGACAGAAAGTGAGAAATCACCCTCCTAGAAGGATGGCCACACCGCAATCCCTTCTCCTCTAGTCTCCTCTTGGGATCTTGGGCATGCACACACATGCATCTGGTGTGAGTTTTAGCCAACAGGTCCAGGACTCAAACCGTGGTTGACTACATGGGAGTCCAGCGACATAACCATTATGCCAACTGCTGGTCCCAATAAATAATTCTTTTAAAAACAAAAACAAAAACAAAAAGAATACTGACTTCAATTCAAAGAGACTTTCTCTTTCTCTAGTGGGGACCTGGAAAGGAGATACCTTGACTGCCGCACAATTCCAGGTGACTTAATGTCCGTAGAGTGACAGTGTCACCTAAAATAACTGAGCTTCACGGCACGGCACCTTTGGTTCCGGTGGCCGAGTACGTTGAGGACGGCTTGCTACTCGTGTGAAACCTGAGCGTTTCAAACAAATGCACTCACCAGAATGGCTAACATGAAAAAGACTGACCACCGACGCGTTGGTGAGGGTGGGGAAACTGGCAACCTCTTCACTTCCGGCGGGGACGCAAACGCTACACCCACTTTGAAATAGACTGGGTAGATTTTTAAAATAATTATTTTATTGAACTTTAATTAACTTACTTATTTTAATTTGACCAGAGAAGGGCAGTGAGAGAGTGGGAAGGTGGGGAAGCAAGCCGCCAGGTCCAGGACTCGATCTGCAGGCGGCCATGTAGGAGTCCAACGCCCTTAACCACCACGCCACCTGCCAGCCCCTGGGCAGATTAAAAAAAAAAATCAAATATAGGAGCCAGCAAGTGGCATGGCAGGTAAGGGTGCTAGACTCTCACATGGCCAACTGTGGTTTAAGTCCCAGACCTGGCAGCTTGCTTTCTCACTCTTCCTCTCTGTCTCTCTCTGGCCAAATTAAAAATATATATAATAAATAAAGTTAAATAAAATGACTCTTTTTTTAAAAATCAAATATAGGAGCTGGCAGGTGGCATGGTGGTTAAAGGCACTGGACTCCCACATGGCCGACCCCGGTTCAAGTCCTGGACCTGGTGGCTTGCTTTCTCACTCTTCCTCTCTGTCTCTCTCTGGCCAAATTAAAAATATATATAATAAATAAAGTTAAATAAAACAATTCTTTTTTTAAAAAATCAAATATATATCTACCCTACGACTTAGCAGCTTCAGGTATTTTATTTTTTAGGTTTTATCATAGGGTATGTGTGTTCACCAGAGAGAGACAGTGAGACAGAAAGTTAAAAATCATAATAGCTAAAAACTAGAAACAGACCAGGTATCTGTCAACGGAAAAATGGAGAAACAAATGTGTATTTCCGTATGACTGAACAGCGGCCGGCAGTAGCGAGGAAGGCTCTGACATGACCAGCAGCAGGGCAGCCGGCATCACCGACTCCTGGATGCACTGCTCTGGGAGGACAGTGTCAACCCTGTGGCAGTCTGCTGGGAGGTACATTGCCACATTTCTTTTTCCAAAAAAGGAATTATTTTATTTAACTTTATTTATTTGTTTATTTTTTATTTGGCCAGAGGGGAAAAGAATGAGCGTGAGAGAGAGAGAGAGAGGAAAGTGAGAAAGCAAGTCACCAGGTTCAGGACTCGAACTGCGGTTGGCCATGTGGGAGTTGAGCGCCCTTAACCACCACACCACCTGCTGGCCCCTATATCACTATATTTCGAAATCAAGAGGAAACATTGAATGTACATCAATGGATGGACATGCTACAAAATAACTCTTTGAAGTATCAAGATCAAGAAAGAACTAAAAGATAAGAAAGAATTGAAAGGGGTCAGCAGGTGGAGGTGGTTAAAGGAGCTGGACTCCTACATGGCCAACTGCGGTTCGAGCCTGGACCTGGCAGCTTGCTTTCTCACTTTCTCTCTCTCTCTCTCTCTCTCTCTCTCTGTTTCTCTCTGGTCAAACTGAAAAATAATGATAAGGGACCAGCAGTTGGCGTAATGGCTATGTCACTGGACTCCCATGTAGTTGACCATGGTTTGAGTCCCGGACCCAGTAGCTTAAACTCACACCAGGCATGTGTGCGTGCCAAAGATCCTGAGAGGAGAATGGAGGAGAAGGGACTGTGGCATGACCATCCCCCGGGGGGTGATTTCTCGATTTCTCTCTCTCTCTCTCTGGAGAGCGCATGCGCCCTATAGCAAAAACCTGAAAAAAACAATAAAAGATAATAAATAAATGAATAATTCTTAGGAAAAGAAAGAAAGAACTGAAAACTGACAGATGAGAGGAGACTAAGAGGAAATAACAATGAGATACAATGTGGGACGTTAGTGAGAAAATTCGAATAAGGTGAAACTAGAGTAAGGGTTATAGTTTAACATGTAACGTACTGTTAACTTCTTGGTTCGATAACTTTACTATGTTATGCAAAATGCTGATATGGGGCAGCTCAGTAAAGGGTATATGAGAACTCTGTATTACTCTTACAATTTTTTGAGTCTAAAATAAAAAGTTAAAAAAAGAAAAAAAATGGAACGAATTGTTCATATATGCAACAACATGGTCAATCCTCGGAAATACTGTACCAAGGGGCCAGCAGGTGGCATGGTGGTTGAGGTGCTAGACTCCCACATGGCCACGGTTCAAGTACTAGACCTGGTGGTTTGCTTTCTCACTCTCCCTTAATCACAATTTCTCTCTCTTTCTCTGGTCAAACTGAATAATGATAAATAAAATTTTAAAAAACGTCAAGTTAACAAAATGCATTTGACCTGATAGATGTTGTTTTAAAAACTAGATAGATATCTATATATAGTACCAAGTAGAAGCCTCACACATAAGATTACATATTATTGATATATGATTCCTAATTATATGAAATTCTAGAAAAGGCAAAACTAATCTATTGCAGAAAAAAATCAAAACAGTCATTTCTCTGTAGGGAATGAGGCAAGAACTGATCATGAACAGCCGTAAGGGACGCCTTTTTTTTAAAGAATTATTTTATTTAACTTTATTTATTTTAATTTGACCAAGGAGGGACAGAGTGAGAGAGAGAGAGAGAGAGAGAGAGAAAGCAAGCCTCCAGGCTCAGTACTCGAACTGTGGTTGGCCATGTGGGAGTCCAGCGCCCTCAACCACCACGCCACCTGCTGGCCCCAGGGATGCCTTTTTGAGGTGGCAGCAGCGTCCCGTATCTGGGAAGAGGTCTGAGTTACCTAAATGTGCATCTGTAAAACCTTACCAATGTTCACTTACGACTGGACAGGGCCTGTCCAGTCCCAAACACAGCGTCTGAACGCTGTGCTGTGACTTGGAGCCAGATCTTATGAGGTCGACCACTGTTTGAGTTCTGGCCCGAGCCACTTGGAAAACACTCTGGGCCTGTGGGTACACATATCTGTAATCCTGACGGGAAGGAGAAACAGAGGAGAAAGGACTCTGGCGCGACCATTTCCCATCGACGGGAGTGCGTTTCTCCCTCCTTTTCTCTGGTGAACACACATGCCCTCTGACAATGAGAAGGAAGAACAAAAAGACCTGCGCATTTCATTGCATGTAAACTTTACAATGAAAAGCTATAAACAGGGGCCAGAGAGTGATGTCATAATTAAGTGCTGGATCCCACATGGCTGACTGCGGTTCAAGTCCCCAGCCTAGAGGCTTGAAAATCACGCTGGGCGTGTGTGTGCACATGCCCAAAATCCCAGGAAAATGGAGGAAAAGCAACTGCAGTGGGGCCATCCTCCCCCAGGAGGGGATTTCTCATTTTCCCTCTCACTGTCTGTCTCTGCAGCGTGTGCATGTGCCCTATGACAAACAAAACCTTAAAAAAATGAGAAAGAAAAACTATAAACAAACACTGAACTCTAGTTCATGATACATACGTCAAAGGACTCAGGAGAAAGTAGACTGACATCTGCAACTTACTCTGAGACACACTCTTCAAAGTAAGATGAAGTAATGCAAGAGCCAGCAAACTCTACCCGTTTTGATAAAGAACGTTTTATAGGAAAACAGCCATGCCCTTTCACTTATGGGTGGCTATGGCTAGCTTCCTGGCACGAAGGCAGAACTGGGTAGTGGTGACAGAAATATTACTGTCTAGTTCTTGAGGAAAAGGTCTGCTGACCCTTGGGGGGGGGCGTTGGGTAGACAGTGTGTGATAGAGCGAGCGTGATAAAATGTCAATGTTAGAATCAGGTGGTGGATATACCCATGCTCCTGCAACAGTCTTTCGACTCTGCTTCAACTGTGTTTGAATATTTTCAGGACGAAATGTTGAAAAAATAGAACTGAATCTGAAAATTCAGTCATCATTTTTCGACGCCAATGGTAAAACATTATTCTCCAACACTGAGAGAACTCTATTAGATTGACACAGAAACTACCCTCATAACAACTAGAATGGTGTAAAATTTACAAGAGGCTTTATTCACAATACATAAAGAAGAAAGTCCTGTTCTATTTATGAATGGGTCTCCCAGGGGGGGATGGCCACACCGCAATCTCTTCTCCTCCATTCTCCTCTCGGGATCTTGGGCACGCATGCACACGTGCCTGGCGTGAATTTTAAGCCACCGGGTCCGGGACTTAAACCGCGGTCAACTACATGGGAGTCCAGCGACATAGCCATTACGCTAACTGCTGGTCCCTGAACAAGTCTTGTAGGAGCTGAGTAGCAGAGGAATCCTAATTCTAATCTTCCTATCGCTGTACCTTTCAGTATTTCCCAAGAGGTTAGTTCCTCAGTACTCATGTGGCGTTGGCGTGTGGCCTTCGAAGTGAAGGACAAAGAGGAAATCTGAATATTCCCGATAGCTACAGATGAAATGTTTCTGTTCCCTTAAAGTCCACATGTTAAAACCTAACTACCAATGTGACAGTAGGAGGCAGCAACTCTGGGAGGTGACTGGGTCATGAGGGTGGAGCTGGAAGACAGGGATTAGTGCCCTGTGAAAAGAGACCCCCGGGGGCAGGTGGTAACAGCTGGATCCACTGGTTCACGCAGTGAGCCTTCAAGTTCTGCGCCCAGGTTCTAGGCTCTTGCAGTGGGGGCTCCCTGAGCAAACTGGGCGTACACACACCTGTGATCCGGGCTGGCTGAGACAGGGTGTGGATAACAGCGTGAGGACCCTGGGGGCTGCCTGTCTGTCTTTCTGTAAGTCTTATTTTCTTGAGAAAATAAACTTTAGAAGAGATCCCCAGAGAGCTCTCTCTCTCCTTGAGAGCAGGAAAAGAAGATAGCATCTCTGAGCCAGGGAACGGCCCTCACCAGACACTGAACTATTGGCACCTTGCAGTTGGAATTCTCAGCCTCCCAAAGAGTGAGAATAATCTCTGTTGTTCATAAGCTATCCAGTTAATGGCTTTCACAAAAGCCCAAACACACTGGGACACCCGTTGTCCTCAGGTGACAGTCCTTGCTCTGTCTCCACCACTGAGAGAGGGAGGACAGGGCCAGGGCGTGGACCCTACCCAGGCCCTGCAAATACACACCCCTCACAAGAAGCGCCGCGCTTCATGGAGTGGCCTTCACTGAGGAGCAGTCGCAAGACGTGCCCCATGCCTGAGCGTGAAAACAGACACACGCTTCCAGTGCATGACTGTTACTGAGCAATCGGTCTGCTTGGAGCGTAAGGGCAGACCTTCCAAAAAACCAGGGTCATGCTAACTCTGCCACACAACCAGGCTGCAAGGCCTCAAATTACCCGCGTGATCTGAATGACGTACCGAAGAAAAATACTGAAAGGCATCTGAAAAGCCATGGCTGGATTGTAGCTATTAACACTAGGCAGGCATTTCTGAGATGAATCTGAAGTGTTATTCCTCATACCACTGTGATTAAGCACAACTGTTTAAATGACGAATAGGAAAAAAGGGCAACAATCAGGCCAGCAGGTGGCGCAAAGGTTAAGGCAGCTGAGTCCCATGTGGCCAGCGTGTGGTTGAGTCCTGGACCTGGTGGCTGGAAATCACAATGGGCACGTGTGTGTGCGTGTCCAGCATCCCAAGAGGAGAGCAGAGAAGGGACCATGGCATAGCCACCCCCTCGGGGAATAACTTCTCACTCTCCCTTCCTCTCTATCTGGGAGTACCACACACCCTACAGCAAAACTAAAAAAAGCTAAAAAGACCTTTATAACACAGACTTTAAAAATCAATGTTACCTGATCCAGATTTTTGAAGAGGAGGATATCTTTGCAAGCTTCCTGAAGTCTGCATCTCTGCTCGTCAGTTTTGGGATGAATCACCTGCCAATCCAGAGAAAACTTTCAATTTCATTTAAAGTAACTCAAAGCCTGGTATGTTTCTTTCTTCTAAAAAGTGGGAAAAACAGGGCCACCAGGTGTCATGGTGGTTATAGGGCTAGACTCCCACATGGCCGACTACAGTTCGAGTCCCGGACCTGATGGCTTGCTTTCTCACTTTCCCCCTCTCTCTGGTCAAATTAAGTAAATAAATAATTCTTTAAAAAAAAAAAAAAAGTGGGGAAAACAAAGAGCACGTGTTGTATCCTTTTAGTTCTACACGGCACCAAGCAGTACGCTGACTCCAGAGGGGAGGTGTGGTACAGGAGACATCACTGAGCCGGGACCACATGTTGGCTGTGGGATCCTACCCGTAAAGCGGAGCGTTACAAATCCATGTTCACGTGACAAATACTGAGTACTACTTGGTGCCAGACACCCTCCCAGCTCTGGGGACAAAGCAGCGAGCACACAGAAAAACACCCATCCTAATGCATAAAATGTGTTGGAGAGGGACCAGCAGTTGGCGTAATGCCTGTGTCGCTGGACTCTCGTGTAGTTGACCGTGGTCTGAGTCCCAGACCTGGTGACTGAAACTCACGCCGGGTGCATGTGCGTGCATGCCCAGGATCCCGAGAGGAGGATGGAGGAGAAGGGATTGCGGTGTGGCCATCCCCCCTGGCAGGTGACTTCTTGCTGTCTCTCTGTCTCCCTCTGTCTTTCTGGTGAGTGCACGCGCCCTATAGCAAAAACCTCTCAAAAAATAATGTGTTCGAGACTGAGAGGACAGAAGAAGAGAGATGAGAAGCAGGAGAGCGCGTGTGGGTATGTGTGGCCAGGGGAGGCCTCCACCGAGAAGGTGACATCTCTGTGTAAGATGTCCAGGAAGTGGGCACAGCCTGGGGGAGTGCGTCATGTGGATCTCTCCATGGAAGAGCATCCCAATGGAAGGAACGGCAAGAGAACACAGGCCTCATGGTGGGAGTGTCAACAGCATGTCTGAACGACAACCAGGAGGCAGGTGCGGCTGACGCAGAGTGATGGGGAGAGGTCAGGAGGCCGAGGGTGGGGACATGCCCACATCACGAAGGGCAGGGCAGGTCGAAGAAGAGCTGGACCTTCTCTGGCAACACGGGGTGATCTGAGGGTGCTGAGGGCGGGAAGAGGCCTGAGTAGTGCCTGTAAAGATTACCCTGGTGTGAGTGGACAACAGCCTGGGGAAGGTAAGCGTGGCTATCAGCAAGCTGCAGCAGCCACTCCGAACTAGACCGGGGTCACTGGGGCGGCAGTCGCGGAGGGTTGAGAAGTAGTATGATTCTTGATGTGTTCTGAAGACAGAGTCTATTGAATTTATTTAAAAAATAGAAAAGCATTAAAAAAAAAAAAAAAAAAGGCTTCAGGGTGACCAGAGTTTTGGGCCTGAGCAACTGCAAGGAGGGAGCTACCAGGAACTAAGCTGGGAGAGACGTGGGGGGGAAAGAGCATTTAAATGGAAATAACCGGAGCTCACAGTAAGTCTGAGTTGTCTACTGACATCTAAGTGGAGATGGTAAGTAAACAACAGCCATTTAAGCTAGAGTTCCCCATACCCTCAGCCAGTACGGCTTTTGGTCTGTTATGTGAAAACCCACAATTTGTATTTATTTTAATTATTGGAATGATGAGGTCTGGATGTGTGTGGGGGGGGGCGGGGGGGGGCAATGAGAAATACAGTATACCTAATGCCTTTGCTTCGGTTCTTACCCTTGGGTCAGTGTCTTCCTCTTCCTCATCAGGGTTATAGGCCTCAGCGCAGACTAAATTTGGAGAAAAAAGAAAAAGGAATTGAACAGATACATGGTTTCAGAAAAATAAGTGAATACAACCTCCTTTTATTCATTGTTTTCTGAAGTTATAATAATCTTTAATTCTTTCATACTTTTTTGGAGAGGTTTGCTATAGGGTGCGTGTGCTCGCACGCGCGCGAGAGAGACAGAGAGACAAAAAGCAAGAAATCACCCCCCCCAGGGGGGGATGGCCATGTCGTAATCCCTTCTCTTCCACTCTCCTCTCGGGATCTTGGGCACGCATGCACACATACCCGGCGTGACTTTAAACCACCAGGTCCAGGAATCGAACCATGGTCGACCTCATGGGAGTCCAGCGACATAGCTATTATGCCAACTGCCGGTCCCGATAATCTTTAATTCTTTCAATATATATTATATATTCAACATACTGTTCAAATATTTTAAGTACAAACTAGTGTCAGGCACCCCCTTAGGTGCTGAAAACCCCGCTCTCTAGAGATCCGCAGGTCCAGACAGCAGCGAGGGTGGAATATACCACCTACTGAATCCCAGGGGAGTGAGGCGGACAAATAAGGACAAGCCTGCTGGGCTACGAGGCAAGGGTGAAAAACCATCAAGTTCTATATGTGTGCTATAAATGTACAGGAGGAGACAATTTGCAAAAGAACCAACTAAAACAGTTCAAAGTCGGGATCAGCGGTTGACCTAATGGATATATCTCTGGACTCCCTTGTAGCTATCTACAGACTTCTGTCACCGTCATTCAGCCATTTAAAAAATACCCATTGCAACATGTGGCCAGCAGTGCAGGATGTCTGGATCCCACATGGCTGACTGTGCAGTTCGAGTCTCGGACTCAGTGGCTTGAAAGACACACTGGGTACATGTGCATGTCCAAAATCCCGAGAGGAGAAGAGAGGAGAAAGGACTGGTGTGGCAATCCCCCCTTGCGGATGCTTTCTCTCTCTCTCTCCCTTGCCCTCTAGTAAACGCACATGCCCTCTGGCAAATCTTAAAAAAAAAAATCATTGAAATATTATTTATACTAGTAAAATACTGGGGCCAGCAGATGACATGGTGGTTAAAGTGCTGGACTCTCACATGGCCAACTGTGGTTTGAGTCCCGGACCTAGTACCTTGGTTTCTCACTTTCTCTCTCTTTCTGTTTCTCTCTGATAAAATTGAAAAAAATAAGAATAGTAAAGAAAATGAAATACGTATTTTAAAAATATCTACTAGTAAAATATCAGCAGTGATATAAGTATCCACATAAATGATGCAGCTATAAGAAAGAACGAGGGGCCAGCAGGTGGTGAGGCAGTTAAGGCAGCTTAGCTGTGTGGTCCCGCCCAAACTGGCAGCTTGAGGGACATGTGCCCAAACTCCTGAGAGGAGAATGGTGGAGATGGGATCTGGCGTAGCCATCCACTGAGAGGTGGCCTTCCCACTTTCTCTCCCCACCCCACCCCCTCTGGCAAGTGCACGAGCCCTATAGCAAAAGAAACATTAAAAAAAAAAAAAAGTAAAGTTTTGCCAAGAATGACCTGGATGTGACCACTGGCGTTGCTCAGAATGCATCAAGTCTGTTTTGTCCTTCACAATACAAGCCATTACAGCTGGGGAACGTGTTCTTCCCATAAACCCCCTTTTATCTGCAAGAGCCAGAGCAGCGCAGCGAGCAGCGAGCAGCGAGCAGGAGCAGCGCAGCGGTGCCTTACTGTAAATCACTCTTCTGCATAATGCGCCTCACAATGGCACTTTCCTCTGAAGCCTGTCACAGGGATCAAGCAGATAAGTGCCTTGCGCATAGTAAGGGTGTGGCCAACGCCAGCTTTTCAGACTATTACTATTTCTGCTTCATCTGTCCTGGCTTTCGGGAATAGTAATTATTACCTCGGTTCTGCTCTCTCTCAGCTCTCAACTGTCCCTCCTTCAAGGCTGCCCTCCGTTACAGGTTGCACTTAACACCTTCGCCCTTGCTGTCTTCTCTATGTATTTAATTTTTTGCTTCTTGCTTTTAGCTTCCTTGTAGTCTTTCCTCATCACATCCACTTCCGGCTCCATCTCAGCCTATCCTTTCCTTGGCTGTCTCCTCAGGGCTCGTATAGGCAATGATTTCTTGCACTCTGCTGAGCATTCTGTGGTGAACCTTTCTAGTCTTGACTCCTCTTACATCCTTAATCTGCTGAGTTCACTAAAGGCCCTGTATTGCATGTCAGGGTTTATTTCTCGTTTCTTAGGAGGGAAGAAATAGAAATGGGTCTTGATCCCGGTTCTCCATTTATGTGATGGCCAAAAGGCTCCATCTACGTACAACCGGGGGACCGGCTGACACATACCACTCCCAGTTTAACTCTCAGTCTCTGAGACATCTACCCACTGTGGCCACGGAATGCTACATCCAGACCTTCCCTTCCTCACTGATTCTCCAAGCTAACTGAACCCCTGAGAAATGACAGCTTCTAGGATGTCCCATACACAGGACTCTGCTGCTCTGGCCCGGCCTGTTACTATGCTACTATAATGCCATCGACACTGCCTGTCCCCCAGGGACTTCACATCCTAAAATAGGCAGAGAAGAATTAGAGGGAACAGATGAAGAAGGCAGTGAAACTGCATCATCAAATAAAAAATAGCAAAATTAAAATAAATAGCATAGCATGGCCATCCAAGAAGATTTTACATAAAAAAAATTCCAGGGTCTTGGGGTCAGCAGGTGGTGTGGTGGCTAGGGATGCTGGACTCCTACATGGCTGACCACAGTTCAAGTCCCAGAACTGGCAGCTTGCTTTCTCACTCTCCCCCTCCCCCTCATTCTGTCTTTCTCTGGTCAAATTTAAAAATAAATAAATAAATAAAGTTTAATAAAATAATCCTTTAAAAAAAAAAAAGAAAGAAAAAAAATCACAGGTCCATGGGTCAAGAGGTAAAGACATTGGGCCTCACATGGCTGGCTGTGCCATGGCTTGAAAAACACAGTGTGCGTGTACATGCACGCTGCAAATCCTAATAAGAAGAAAAAGACATGGCATGCTCATGCCCCTGAGAGAGAAAGGGGGTGTTTTCTATCTTTGTTCCTGAGACAGAGAAAGCAGTGCTTTCTCTCTTGTTCTCTGTGACAAGTGCATGCACCCTTCTGGCAATTAAAAAAAGAACAAAGAAAATTTACTCAGTGTTATTAAAAATATAACCTAGAGCATAACAGAAAACAGTAAAATAATACCAAACTAATCCCATATAAACAAATAGTAGCAGGTTTCCTGTACTTGGAGAGCGTTCATTTTTGTTAACAACCGTAGAATGCCAAATAAACCCGTCGGAGGCCCTATCTACCACTGTGCTCCCCACTACGGAGATGGCATGGAGGGGCCTGTGCAGGGCTCCCTTCTCCCAGCAGCCTAACGTGTAGATGGGCTCTAGAAGGCAAGACATGGAAAAGGACAGGGCAGTGCTCAGCCTCTGGCCAGGGAATGCCACTTCCTGCACCGTAAAGGGGACCGAACAGCTGAAAACTATATGAAATATAGCTTTTAGAAGATATAATTATGAACATAAAAAAAATTAATGACATAAATGTAGAGAGACAAGCCACCCTAATTATAGCAAGGTAAAAATATAAACAGATATATTCATGACTTTGAATAAAAACAGAACGGGGAACCAGCAGTTAGCGTAATGGCTATATCGCTGGACTCCCACGTAGTCGACTGCGGTTCGCGTCCCGGACCCGGTGGCTTAAAACTCACGCCGGGCGTGTGTGCGTGCATGCCCAAGATCCCAAGAGGAGAATGGAGGAGAAGGGATTGTGGTGTGACCATCCCCCCTGGGGGGTGATTTCTCGCTTTCTGTCTCTATGTCTCTCTCTGTCTGTCTGGCGAGCGCACACGCTCTATAGTGAAAACCTCTCCAAAAAAAAAAAAACAGAACGAAAAAACCCCAGGTAACTTTACTTTCAACCTAATGTTCTGTAATGCTAGTGGCTTATCTTTTTATTTAAAAGGTCAGTTTATTTCGACATAAGATACTCCTATGCTAAAACAGCATTTTAGCAATATGTTATGAAAGAGAACACATACCTGATACTCGCCTATTAAATCTGCTCGGAATTGGAACTGCAAAACAAAGAAGAAGCAACATTTAGCCATCCACTCCCATCCTCCCTTTATGCAGTCTCTGACTACAGAACTAAGCATCTCAAAACCAAGTGGAGGGGGTCAGGTCATACACTTCCATACCCAACCATAAACAGCTGCTCAACATGATCATTGTATAAAGACAACTAGAAAAGAAAATGTTTCTGAAAACAAGCTCTTTACAACTTCAGTGTACTCAAGGTGGCAATTTTATTTCTGCACACATCCATGTTCAATCTAATTCATCATTCCAAATAAATAAGAAGTCTGCCAAACCTACTGGTAACGCTACGCTACAAAGTGGTTAAAATTCTCTTCTTTACTATTCTTAAAGATAATCCCCAGACAAGCTGGGTAATAGCATTTAAATTCCATTTTAAAATAATATAACGAGGGGCCAGCAGGTGGCATGGTGGTTAAGGGTGCTGGACGCCCACATGGCTGACCGTGGTTTGAGTCCTGGACCTGGCGGCTGGCTTTCTCACTCTTCCCCCCACATTTTGTCCTTCTCTTATCAAGTTAAAATAAATAAGTAACATAAGTAAAGTTAAATAAAGACAATTCTTAAAAAAAATAATAATAATATGAGAGGAACCAGCAGTTGGCGGAATGGCTATGTTGCTGGACTCCCACGTAGTTGACCGCGGTTCGAATTCCAGACCCAGTGGCTTAAACTCATGCTGGGCACATATGCGTGCATGCCCAAGATCCCGAGAGGACAATGGAGGAGAAGGGATTGCAGTGTGGCCATCCTCCATGGGGGTGATTTCTTGCTTTCTGTCTCTCTGTCTCTGTCTTTCTGGTGAGTGCATGTGCCCTATAGCAAAAACTTAAAAAAATATATGAGTATTATACAAAAAGTAAATATAGGGACCAGAAGTTAGCATAATGGCTATGTTGCTGGACTCCCATGTAGTCGACTGCAGTTCAAGTCCTGGACCCGGTGGCTTAAGCTCACGCCAGGCACGTGTGCGTGCGTGCCTAAGATCCTGAGAGGAGAATGGAGGAGAAGGGATTGTGGCATGCCCATCCCCCCTGGGGGGTGATTTCTTGCTTTCTGTCTCTCTGTCTCTCTCTGTCTTCCTGGTGAGTACACACGTCCTATAGCAGAAACCTCTTATAAAAAAACCAAGAACCGTAAATATAAATAACCCTCCAAAACTGAAAAATTTGAGAAATATTGAAAAACAAATTGAGTATGGTTCAGAGAATCAAACAAAACTAATATGAGGTCTCTGAATCAAAAACAGGCCCAGAAAGGAGGCAACTGCTCATTTACCATAATAAGACTAGAATTATTTTTGCATAGCATGAAACCGAAGTCAAGTTACTGGAACAAACAGGCCATAATTCAAAAGACAACCACAGCCAGCCATTACTGACAGACAGTGCCTCCAACAGTCTCTCACTACTTCCTCAATGTAAAAAATGGATTACTTAAAGTTAACCCACCCACCAGCAAGCAAGTTCAGTTTGACCAAAATGCGTGGCAACCGAGCACGCATGTGCATGCATGTTTTTAGACAATCTTGGAAGCGAGAGTAAACCAAAGATCTCCCATCTCATGGAGCTCACATTCTATCTAGAGGGTTAAGGGACAGAGTTTGCTTTGATCTTCTAAACACATGTGCTTGTCACTCAGGAACACAGATGAAATGTACACCGGCTAAGCCCTGAACCCAGGCTTCAAGAGATTTCTATAATTAAAGACTCAATGAACATGACTACACAACCTACTGTAAAACACACAGTAAGATAATTTAGCATGGGTACTACCAGGAATTAGCTCAAACAAAGAGCTAGATATCATGGTCACGACCATACATGACTGAACCCATGTGCGAAAGATCCTGGGTACAGGTCCCAGGACCTCCGAGTATGCCAGGTGTCTGTGCATACGTCTGTAATCTGGGTGGGCTGAGATGGGGGTGGATGACAGTGTGAAGATTCTGCTGGGGATTCCTTTCTCTCTGTCTCCCTCTTACAGAAGAAAGAAAGGAATAAGATATTAAAAATAACCAGGGAGGGGCCACCAGGTGACATAATGGTTAAAGAAGCTGGATTCCCACATGACCAACAGCAGTTCGAGTCCCAGACCTGGTAGCTTGAAACTCACACCAGGCTTGTGTATGTGTGTACCTACAATCCCAAGAGGAGAATGGAGAAGGGAATGTGGTGTGGTCATCCCCCTGGAGGATGATTTCTCTTGCTTCCTCTCTCTCTCTCTCTCTCGGGCAAGCACACATGCCCCATGGCAAAAATCTAAAAAAAAAAAAAAATCCTTTATCCTAATAGCAGAGAATATCAAGAAAGTCCTCTAGTACAGAACACCTGTCTTCTTACTCTTCGATTACCCACCTGCAGTCTCCCTGGTTCCTCGGGTCTTGGACAACTTAAGACTAGAAAGAGGGTGGGAAATTTGGAAACCCCAAATAAGATGGAACTGGGCAGATTCAGGAGGGAATGTCCCCTGTGCATGAGTCAGCAGTGCACACAGCACTCTGGACAACATGAAGGAAGCAGGGCAAAGGGGATTGCTGAAGATCATTTTATAAAGATCACTCTGGCTGCAGCCGGCGGAGGAGGGTAGTGGCTTATGGACAGGAGGAAGACAAATGGATTCTAGAGAAGACAAAATCTATACAGTTCAGTGTCAGATTCAATGTCTTCATGTTTGTACTATAAATACCAATCAAACGAAATGATATCCTTGCAACGATAAAACACAAAGTAGTCAACAGGACATCATGTGATCTGTCATTGAGAGTGCTCCCATGGACTCTAAAACGATAAAATGTCACATTACAAAGCCACCTTGTCCGGCCACGGCAAGAAGTCTGTCTCACGTGGAACCCTAATTGATGTCACTGGTCCCCTGAGTCATCTCTGCCTGCCTCTCTCGCTCCTCACATGTACTTCACTAACAATTCCGCCTGCTCTCCCTCCCACTTCAGCTCATGAATCAGACTCCCTCTCCGTCTCCACTGTTACCGAGTCTGAACGGCATTTCTCGCCTGCATGACTTGCCGTAACCTCCAAACCTGTCTTCCCACTGCCAGTCTTACTTAACCACGACAGTCTATTCTTCAAACAGTCATCAGGATGATCTTAAAATTTAGGAAGATAACTTGGCAATCTGTCAAAATTTTAAATGTGAACTCCCTTTAACCCAGTAGCAATTTCATTTCTAGAACTATGTTCTAAATAAAATTCACATATGGGTACGCGTGTATGTGTATGCACACACATGTGTGTATGCATACATTCTCTGTATGTGTGTATATGAACACATGTGTGCATATATTCACAACATAATCACGGCAGAATTATACAAAATCACGAAAAAAGAGATCGAAGTGTCTAGGAAAATAAATGAAGGAAATATTGATACGGCTAGAGAATAAACCTCTACAAAGCTCTTGAAATGGGTGAGACAGGGCCGGCTTGCTATGTGGTCATGTGCTACTTCCGGCTCATCCAGCAATGTCCGATGCCCCGGAGTGTAACCGTGACCGTCTGGCTGGGCAGGCTGGGCGGACCGCGGTGTGAGACCATGTCAGGGATGCTTCTCTCTCTCTGTTTCTTTCACTCTCACAATAGAAAAACTAAAACTTAAAGAAAATGGATATAACAAACTTATATAAATTGACATGAAAAAACTTCCAGAAATATTGTTACGCAAAAAACGTTGCACAAGGGCAGCACAATATAACCTGATTTTCTTTCTCTCTCTCCTTTTTCTTTTTCTTTTGGCTGTGGGGCAGGGGATATGTGCACTTGTACTTGCCAGAGAGGCACAGGCAGAAAGACAGGAAGAAATCACCCCCAGTGGAGCCACACCAGTCTCTTCTCCATTTCTCTACCCTGTGGGGATGCACATGTCCAGTGGACTTTTGAAGCTGCTGAGTCTGGGACTAAACCATGCCAGCCATGTGGGACCTAGTCCCACAACACAGGCTAGTCCTAAAAATTCTGTGGTCAGCAGGCAGTGTGGAGGGTAGGACACTGGATTCTTAATGGTCAAACACAGTTTGAATCCGAAACTGGCAGCTTGAAAATCACTTGAGGCGCATTGTGTACATATGTGTACGCCCAAAATCCCAAGAAGAGAATGGAGAAGGGATTGAGGCGTGGCCATCCCTCTGGGGGTGATTTCTGGCTCCCTCTGTCTTTCTGTCTCTCTTCAGCAAGTGCACATGTACTATGGCAAACACCTAAAAAAAAAATGCTTTTAATCAAACGATGGGGTCATCTGCAAAGTCAGGATGCATTTTTGCATTAAAAAAATATGTCATGACTTTCCCAGCAACCTCATAATACATGTCAGAAAGCGAAAAGTCAAATAGTACTTGGGACAAGCAGATGGCGTAATGGTTACATTGCTGGACTCCCACGTGGCTGATTGTGGTGCAGATCCCGGACCCAGAGGCTTGAGACTCATGCCAGGCGAGTGTGTGTGTGTGTGCATAGCGTCCCAAGAGAATGGATAGAAGGGACTGCAGTGAGGCCATCCCCTGGGGGTGATTTCTCACTTTCTGCCTCTCTGTCTCTACAGTGAGCATACACACCCCATAGCAAACATCTCTCTTAAAAAAAAAAAAAAAAAAAAAAAACCAAAAAGAACTTAAG